ATTTTATAAGAACAAGATGAGGGAACTGTGGCTAGATGGCAGGTGTCTGAAAAAGATACAAGGAGTTCTGGTGGAATGCAAGATATATAAGCAATGTGATACGGCTGCCAAAAAGGTCAATACCATATTAAGCTGAATTAAGAGAAGCATAATGCCCAGAACCAGAGAGGTGATTTTTTTTGTGGTTGGGGTTGGGAGAGGTTCCAGATATTTGATTTCATTGATGGAGGGAGCTTTCAGTAAAGAAAACTCCCTCCACCAATGCCGATCAGCAATTGTTCTGTACCATCTTAGTCACCATTCCCAAGTCAACAACCTGGCATTGCCCTATTTAGCACATCCAATACCTCGCTTCACATAGATTATAATCACACATGCTTCCTGTCACAGAGACATCCCAAGAATAAGAAGGTTGTGTATCTATAGGTGTAACTTGTTTTTGCTCAAATGGGTATTTTCCCTGCTGCTGTTAAGAACGTTTCCTGCTTTGAGTATGGTACTCTCTGTACCCTAACAGATTCTGTGTTTCTTAAGATTGTGTGAGTTTTTTAATGATTAATTTGTATTGCTAGTGTAGTTATCATTCACTTCATTTATGGGTAACACCTATACCTTGCGGAGCTAAGTAAGCAATTTGACATGTGTGCTTTGGGGCATGAAACAAGGCAAAGAACATGAAAACTACCCTGTTGGGCTTAAATTCCATTCTGCTCTCTGACCAAGCCCAGAGGTCATCTCAGTGATCATTAACTGAGCACTCCCAGTGAACTAGATGCTGCCACAGCAATCATGGGACTCAACATTGCCCATGGCTAATGAGCTCACCCAATCCAACCACCCTTTCAGAATTGCAACTGGACAATACAAGGGACATGTTCATTGTGGGCAAGATTTACACCACCCATAACAATTCTCAGGAATGAAAATTGCAGATGCAAATAATTGTAGGTCTTATGCATCACTGGCTTTTCATTTTGAAAATGAGTTTCTCTCACACTATGGACACTGTGCTTCTGTCGATTTATCCTAAGATAAAAGTAGTTTTCTTCATGTCCTATGGTTGACTGACATCAAGTTTGCAGCCCACTAAAATCTCCAGATTATTCTCACAGGAACTGCTGCTCAACTCTGTTCTTGACCTTATTCTTGACAGGAGGCAGGGTGGCAGAATGAGAAAAGTACTTAGAGACAGAAGGCTTGGCTTTGAGTCCCAGTTCTAACACATACTACCTGTGTAATACTAAGGAAATCATTGAACTTCTCTGAGGCATCCTCATTTATAAAATGGGGAACTTCCTACCTCAAAGGGTTGCTGGATTAAAAACACTTTGTAAATTTTGTAAAAACAAAACAAAACAAAACTGCATAGTAGTGGTAGTAGTGGTGGCAGTGATAAGTTGTGATAGTAGTAGTAGTAAGCATTTATAAAGTGCTTTAAGGTTTGCAAAATGCTTTACAAATTTTATCTCATTTTATCCCCACAACAACTTTGGGAGAGAGGTGCTATTATTATTCCCATTCTACAGATGAGGAAGCTAATCGAGATTTAAATGACTTAAAATCTACACAGCCTATATAGCTTGTAAGTATCTCAGACCAAATTGGAACTCATCTTCCTGTGAAATAATCATCAGTAACTCAGCAAAAGAACCAGTTCATTGTTCCAAAGCAGACGTGGAAGAGATACCTCATGGAAGCCCAGAATTCACTTGGCAGTACTTACTCCATTTTTTGCCCAGCACCAGATATCCCAGAGCCCTGAGACCCAATTATTTTAATCAATGAGCTAGGGCAAACTAGAAAAAAAAAACTTATCGAGGCTCATCCAAATGCTAAAGTCCCAAATTCTATCTCAAACTCTGGGTCAGAGTGACCACAAATTCTCTTTCAGTTGAGTACCGACAAGCAAGCATACTTCACCAATCTACCTCCTGTTTTACTGGCTTCCCATTCATCATCTTTCTGGCTTAGGTGAAGGTGGCCTGACCATCCTATTGCTTCCAAATCCTCATGCCTTTTATTGCCCAACTTCCCACCCAACTTGGTAAACTCATCACCTCACCCATTCCATAGCATGCCTTAGAATTGTCCTATTGTTAACAAACTCCCCTACATCCTTAAATTTTCAAATAATATTCCTTTCTTCTTCTCACAGTGATCAAAACCAGGTCTCTCCTGAAGACATCATATTCCTTAAAGCTTCCTTGAGACATAAATGGCCATTCCTCCTCCATATCTTCCTACAATTGTGTCTGGTCACCAGCAAAGATAATAGCACATCTTCCCTCTGTTCTTGTTTAAGCTTTCACAACCTTCCCTTGTCCTCCCCAACTCATAGCCCTCCTTCACTTAAATCCAATTCACTTGCAAGTCATGGCATCATCTTTCTGATGTCATGCTTCTCTTTGAGAATGAAAGACAAACCACACACACACACACACACACACACACACACACACACACACACACACACAGAGCTAGCTCCTAGGGAAAGGAGGAAGGGAAAGGATACTTACTCTTCATTCCACACAGCATCCACACCATTCCTCTACTACCATCTTTTAATGAGCTTTCCATTTCTGAGATTGATTCCACTTGTACCTCCATTCTTGTTTCTGCTATTTACTGACCTCCAAGTTATCCTGCCTATTTTATCAAAGACTATCCCATCACCTCAGGGTCAAGGCTCAAGGACTGGACTCATGCTGAGAACCCCTCTCACAACTCAACCATATGATTCTTCAACCAACTCAATTCCAATGAGCACATTCCCCACTCCATATCATCCACCAACAAACATGAGCATACCTGAAACATCATCATCTTTCAAAATTGCACCATCTCCAAGATCAAGAACTTACATATTTCCCTCCACAACTACAACCACTGTCCTTCTACCATTCCCTCCCTCTCATTCACCTATCAGGGATGGGGAACCTTCAGCCTCATGGCCACATGTGGCCCTCTAGGTCCTCAAGTGAGGCCCTTTGACTGAATCTGAACTTTACAGAACAAATCCCCTGTAAAACTTGGCCTGAAGGCCACATGTTCCCCACCCCTAACTTAGACCTTCATTGTTCTTATGACCTTAGGACCCTTGATCCATCCCAATTGCTCAAGGACATCTCCTTCAAAGTGATTCCATTTGCCCCCACAGCCATCTTTGACTACATAGTCTGCTACTTTGGCATTTCACTACTGCCTAGAATCCCTTGCTCCTCTGATATTACCCCATTCCCAAAATGCAAATCCTGCTCTAGGAAACTCATCATCCTGCAAGATCTGATTGGAGGATGGAGCCATGAACTCTAAAACCTCCATTTAATGAGGGATCTCAGCTCAGAACATCTCACTTCTCACCTGGCTACCCTACTTTGAGGCTTCTCCTACTTCTCCAATATGCCCCAGGAAGTTCATCATTGGGAAAACCTCATCTACCTGCGAGATCCCGTCCACCTCATCACTGCCCTCTGCCTCTGATTAGATGGTAGAGCCATGAATTCCAAAACTTCCATCCAAGGGGGGAACTCGGATCAGAACATCTCCTCATTTCTCACCTCACTACTGTGTAACTTCTCTGATTTTTTCACCATCTCCTCCCCACCCCCAAGGTATTTTACCAAGTGCTTCCTTTTGTGTTGTTGTCTTCCCCCTCCCTCAATTAGATTATCAACTCCTTGAGGGCTGAGATTTTCTTTTCTTTTGAATTTGAATCCCCACCTCTTAGCATCTGCTTGGCACATAGCAGGTGCTTAATAAATGTTTATTGACTGACTGCCTGACTGAATCCTCACTCTGAGTAACCCCCACTTCTGACTTCTCCCCTCAAGCTATAAAGGTAGATGTTATTGTAGAAAATCATGAAATCTAACTGATTTTACCCACTACAAATTAATGGTATAGAACCTCACAAGGGCTCTTGTGCTGCTCAACAACCTATATGCATTATAGATAGAGTTTCCTCATCTGGAAGTTCCTTATGCCAATGAAATCACAGATCTAGTCCTTATCTCTATCCTTGCATGTGCTGAGTTGTGAGAATACCTTGAAAAAAGCAAAAACAATTCATTCCTTCAAAGAGCTTGGTTAATGGGTGAGACAACATATATGTAAACTGGTACATATAAGATGAGAATAGATGGAAGTTAGCACCATCCCTCAGTTTCCTCATCTATAAAATGGGGATAAAGTATGCATTGCACCTACCTCACAGGGTTGTTGTGAGAATCAAATGAGATAAGTCTGTAAGGTTCTTCTTAAATCTTAAAGCACTAGATACATATCAGTTTTCCAAGGAGGTTAGACTTTGTTCATGATGCCCAGAAAAGCACATACACTCTCTCTGCTTCAAAACACATCACCTCTAACTCTTCCTACTGACGAAAATCCCTTCCCTCAATCAACTGGCCCTCCAAGTATTTCCCAAGGTGTTGCATTCCTTTTCCCATGCTACCTTCCAATACAAGAATGGCAAATCATTTCCTACCAACACAGAGGTTGCTCCTTACAGCAATTAACAATGACTGACTCATTAACTGGTGATCAATGGTGATTGGTTCCTTGCCATATAGCTGACCTGTTTTCATCTCCCTGGTGCATTTTTTTAAAGTAACTTGACAAATCAGAGAGAGGGAAAATTAAATTACCTCCATGATCTCTCCCAATCCAAAGATTCTGTGCATCCCTGCTAAGTCAACTAGAAAGGTCCTCCAGAAACCTTCACTGAGCCTTCCTGAGGGAGGCTATGTTTCAGAGACTAACAGGAAAGTTGTTCTTTGAAAATATAAGCCTTCTGGAACTGGCCAATATACTACATAAGTGGACTTCCTACAGAGAGGCAACCACCCAGATGATTCACAGAGGGTTTTCTTGTTCTTGTTGGTTGGGATTTTTTATTGTTATTTTTATGTCTGGGGCAAAATGATCATTAATTATTGATAAAGTAGCTATGCCACTAAGAACTATACTCCCTCACTTCTTGCCTCTTTTACTTCCTCCAGCTCCCTGTGGACAAAATGAAACCCGAGAGGATGGCAAAATAATCCAGTTGCCTCCCTGCAAGACAGGAGCCTGGATTGTGCCAGCCATCATGGCCTGTTACCTCTTAGTGGCAAATATCCTGCTGGTCAACCTCCTTATTGCTGTCTTTAAGTAAGTCGCAAGTTGGCATTTGGGGATTTGACTTCAGTGCAAGGGTGGGAGAAAAAAAAAACATAACAAAACACTACTGTACCTGGTGGAAAGGAGGTTAATTAGGCTGTGTGAAGGTGAAGCTCACCTGGGCTATTGACACTAGAGGAAGCAAACAGGCCCTAGCATACCTAGTGGTTGCTGCACTCCTGAAGGATTGGCTGCTGCTGGAAAACAGTGACAAGGAGGAAGAAGTTCACCCTCAGAGGGAACTGTTGTAGCCCTTTAAATTTTGTCACCTTAGGGCAAAGCCACACTCATCGTGGCCTAGGTAAACCTCTTAAAAAGAAAAACAGTCCTTAACAGAACAGCAGATCTCACTGTTTTCTATTTGCCCCTTTTTCAGCAACACATTTTTCGAAGTTAAATCTATATCCAATCAAGTGTGGAAGTTTCAGAGGTATCAACTGATCATGACATTTCATGAAAGACCCGTCCTGCCACCACCCCTAATTATTTTCAGCCACATGACCATGATATTCCAGCACCTTTGTTGTCGATGGCGGAAACATGAGAGCGATCCAGATGAAAGAGACTACGGCTTAAGTAAGTTTTGAGTACCTGACTCAGTACACTCCAAATCAGAAGTGTTATGCAAGAAAATATGCTTATCTTGCTTTTTCCATTGGCTTGCCAAAGGCTCCACATGGCTCTGGAGCTCCTTGGGGTTTGGCACTTGAAAAGTGGTAGTGAAGCCATAAAAGGATTGAATTACATGCTCTTGACCTCTCACCCCTACTGGCAGAAAATAAAACCAACAGGTCTCAGGAGATGAACCCCAAAACCTTCCAACACTCATTCCAGCCATGGACTCCTCTCTGTATTAGTAGCCTCTAAAGCTTAAGGCATTATGGTAGAGTAGGGAGAACACTGGACTTAGAGTCAAAAAGACTCAAATCCTGTACCAGACACTTACTAACTGTACGACTCTTGGCAAATCAATTAACCTCTCTGGGCTTCAGTTCCTTATCTGTAAAATGAGGGGGTCAGAGTTCAGATTCTAAGGTATCTTCCAACTCTAAATCTATAATCTCATAACCTACACCAAACCAACTATCCTTTAAAATCTGTCATTTTCAACCAGTTCTCTGTCCTGGTAATCCCCAGTTTCATTAACAGGTAAGAATTAGAAGTTTAAGAAAGGGATAAAGAAGTTGCTACAAGGTTCCCAATTTCCATGTGAAATTCTAATTCCAACAAATGAAAGGTGATTTTTAAAATGTTAAGCCCTTCTTCTTCTAGGTGTGAACTAACACAGTCAAAATCAGGGACAGATTGAGTATTTATTAATGGGTCAGATCCCTCACCAGGAAATGCCCTAGGGATTACAGGGCACACAGGATCCTAGAGCAATTTGCAACTTGGTTCAATTCATTTAGTTTTTACTTCTTAAGCACCTACTATGTGCAAGGCACATAAGTGCTAGGTGTCAATAACAAAAAGAAAAAAAGTCCTTCTTCAACTCCCTCCTATTGGAGGCAGAGTCATGTACAGTTACAATTGAGTCCCACATGGCCATATAGCTCAGGAACAGCATTAATTGCCAAGTCTAGGTCCATCTCACCTCCATACTATTTCTCACATCCACCATTTGCTCTCCAACCTCACCCCACCCATGTTATATCAGGCCCACATCAAATCTTGCCTGGATGATTGTTAATATCCTCCTAATTTGCCTCCCTGAATCCAATCCTCTTCTCCCTCCAGTCCACTGTTGATACATGCCTGACAGATTGATATTCCTAAACCACAGACCTGACCATGTTATTTCCCTACTCAAAAGGCTCTATGTCTCCCTCTTGCCTCTACGATAAAATAAAAACACCTGTGTTTAGCATTTAAAATTCTTCACAATGTGGTTCCAAACTACTTTTCCAGGCTAATTACACATTAGTCCTTCTAATGCATTTTATGTTTGAGCTAAATTGGCCTACTTTTTTTTCTGCCAGACATAATGTTCCATCTCTTGTCTCTGCATCTTAGACTAGGCTATTCCCTCTTTGTAGAATATTCTCCCTTCTCCCCTCCACCTCTTAGAGCCCCTTCCTCCCTTCAAGGCCCAGTTCAAATACCACCTCTTACAAAAAGGCCTTTCCTAATCCCTTCCCTATATTTGGCATTTTCTTATAAATGTGTTGTATTTATTTATCTGTGAACATGCTTCTTCCAAGTAGAATGTAAGCTATATGAGGACAGGGACTCTTCTGTTCCTGTCTTTATCTTTGTTTCCCTAGCATAGTGCCTATATGCAATAGGCAATAAGTTATTAGATAAATTAGATAAATGTATTATTGCCTTTTAGACTGAATTGATATAGGATACAGAAATCTAGATAGTCCAGATTTGCATTCCAGGCTCCATATCCACCCCCAAAGGGGCCAAGATAAACCAAATAGCTAGGTGAGTGAAGCCATTTATCTAAGCTCGTCCAATATGTTGGTCTTGATATTGTTACTATACAAATGGATCCCAGACATCAGTGGTATATAGGGAATGGGAAGAATTGGCAAACGTTGATAGGAGAAATTCAGTGCCATGGACAGATCAGGATGGATACAGAAGAAGAGCCTTGGGTTGTCTCTGCATGCAATATATCAGAAAGGCTAAAAGGACCTTTTAAGGATCAGTCTCATGGCACAGTGGATAGAGTGCTGGGCTTGAAGTCAGGAGACATCTTTCTGTCACTTTACCCTGTTTGCCTCAGTTTTCTCATCTGTAAAATAAACTACGGAAGGAAATGGCAAGCCACTCTAGTATCTTTGCTAAGAAAATCTCAAATGGGATCATGAAGAATCAGATACAACTGAAACAACTTAATAACAACAGGACACTCACACTGGTTCCCTCAAATGCCAAGTTCTCATAGCTTCTCAATGAAAGGCAAATGACACAAAAAATTATTTACATTGTAAAGTCTGACCCCTGCCTTTTTGTTTTGGTTTGAGGTGGGTTTTTTTTTTTAATTTGGAAAATAACACTTGGCGAAGCCAAGAAAGGAAAGAGTTGTTGTCTACTAACCCTTGTTTTCTTTCTGTGGTTAAGGTTCCAGTAAAGTAAGTACATTTTCTTCGGAGTGTGCTGTCTTTATTATGAAATCATACAGCTCATTCATGAGAAGAGAAATTATTCTGAACTACTGGGATGGGGGGAGGGGGTGTCCCCCTGTCCCTTTTCACTTTTTTCTTTCATCCAGCACTTTATGCAATTTCTTCAATGCAGTCTTCCCCTTCTCACAAAATTCTTCTTCTACAAAGGGTTTTCTTAGGAAGGAAGGAGGGAGTTCCATTTTTCCCTGGCTGTGGATTTGGTATTCCCATTCCCTGAACAAGATTTACATTAGCTACTCAGAGAAAGCCAGGCAAAGTCGTGACTCCAAACCATGGAGTCCAAACACACAAAGGGCAGCTGGGTATGGAAGGGAACTAGAGGCTACAAGACAGATGGCCTTAGAACTTGCAAGACCTAGTTCCCTTCTCTGCCACATACTGTCTGTAGGATCCTGGGTCACATTGACTGCTCAAGGCTCTCAATAAGCTGCAGAATATGGAAAGTTCCCTTATATCTCTGAAATCACAGGTCACATCACTATCCCTAGAAGTAGCACTTAACAGTGGACTACCACCGTTTCAGCCTAACCCTTTTACCACCCCCAACTTGCTCCCTCCTCCCCATTCCAAATACATGAAGAAATTTACTCAAGATTACACTGGGTTACTCTGATGTTGTGTGAAGTCAAAAGGGACTTAAAGAAATCACCTCATTCTACTTTGCAGCCTCCCCCTTTTCTGAGGCTGGCTATAATTCTTAGCTCTTAGTAGCTATTAGTAGGGTAATTCTTAACTACAGCCAGTCCCAAAGTTGAGGCCAGATGTCTTAGATGGATTTCATATCTAAAAGGTAAGCAAATGGACAGAGAAATTGACCTGAAATAGACTATTTGAAAGGATGAAATTTGTTTGAAGTTTAGTCAAGAATCCAGGCCAGTCTACACAGTCCATTTAATATTTTGGTGAATGAGACAATATCTCTGGGAGAGAAGCAAATTTTCTACTCTGACTAATCTCTCTTGTTGCTTTCACAGAACTTTTCATAACAGATGATGAGCTCAAGAAAGTCCATGACTTTGAGGAGCAGTGCATAGAGGAATATTTTAGAGAAAAGGATGACAGATTCAATTCTTCTAATGATGAAAGGATACGAGTGACATCAGAAAGGTATATGCTACATATTTTATTTTATGCCATGAAATACTTCTTTGGGTTATGACTGTGTCCTCAACAGTAACAAAGACAACCAGGAAGAGTCAACATTTGCGTGTTCGCTTGTATCACTAATGCTTATTATTTAGGCAATAAGCAAACATATGCAATAAATTCTTGTTCTTATGTTATTAGTAATCATTAATTGCTTTAATATCAATTATTGTTCATAATAATAAATATTAATCTCTAGACTTCTAAATGAAGTCAAAGGATCATAGACAAATCAGAACGGACCTCAGAGGTCATCTAGACTTAGGAAGACTGTCCCAAAGTCATACAGATCATAAGAAACAAATACCATTCTTATGTCCAGTCTTGAGTTCCCTTAGATAGTGTGGCCTGTATGAATAAATTTATCAACATGTGTCATTCACTGTTTTTACCTTCAGTGCATACAGCTAATACTTGTAAAATTTAAAGTGGCACTCAGACTTTACACGCACCCCATGGACCTTGGTTCAAATCCTGACTCTGCCTCTTGCTACCCATGTTACCTTGGGCAAGTCACTTAATTTTTTTTTTTGCGAGGCAATTGGGATTAAGTGACTTGACCAGGGTCACATAGCTAGTAAGTGTCAAGTGTCTGGTCTGAGATCAGAACTCAGGTCCTCCCAACTCCAGGGCCAGTGTGCCACCTAGCTGCCCCTACTTAATTTCTTTAGGGCTCAATTCCATCATGGACAGGGTGATATCTAAGCTCCCTTTCAGCACTAAATCTATGCAAAGGAAGAAAAAGGAAACAAGCATTTATTAAGTATCTGCTACGTGCCAGGCACCACACTAAATTTTTGTCCTTACAACAACCTGGGAGGTAGATGTTGTTATTATTGCCATTTTAGAAATGAGGAAACTGAGGTGAAACAGAGGTAAAGTAACTTGCCTAGGATCACACAACTAGTAAATGTCTTAGGTTGGAGATGAATAGCACATCAGGCCTGAGTTTAAATCCAGCCACAGACACTTAAAATCATCATCATTATCATCTTTATTTATTATTATTCCTGTCTCCGGGCCCAGCACTCTCTCTCTCTCTCTTGCCCCACCTTGATACCTCTAAGTGATAATCCTACAATCCAGAAAATAAGTTTACAAAACATAGCCCACTGAAATGCAAGAATGGTATAACTGACCTTTCTTATTGTGCCTGTAAGTTCCAAGATGCAGCGGTTCAAAGCAGGACAGTGCCTACAGGAATCTGGATAGGATTGGAGTAACCCAAAGGCCAGCTGAGCATTTGGTCCTAGTCAACCTGTATGGCACTTTTCCAAGGGGAGAATGCAGGACTGACTTACTACCCCTAGAAACTACAGCCAGTCAAGGCGGATCCAAGACAGGTCCACTCCAGAGTATACATCAAGCTTCAACTCAAACCCAGCCCTGAAAAGTTGTTTCCAGACTAGAAAATCCAATCTGTAGCAGGTCTGATATTGCCTTAAGGTCCCTGAGGGTTTGGGTTTGCTTCAGGATGCCCCAGAAGGCCCAAAGCTTCTAATAAGTAACGAAGAGCCACTGTAAAAATTTAAGTGTTTAGGAATCTTTTGAGTTTTAACAAAAAATATACAATAAGGAAAAAGTCAAACAAATTACTAAACATTGATTCTTTTTTAAAATAAAAATATATAATAAAAGGGCTGCTAGGTGGCACAGTGCATAGAGAGCCAGGCTGGGAGTCTGAAAGACCTAAATTCAAACCCAACCTCAGACACTTAGCTATGTGACCCTGGGCAAGTCACTTAACCCTTTTTGCCTCAGTTTCATCATTCATGAAATGAGCTGGAGAAGGAAATGGCAAAGCATTCTAGTATCTTTGCCAAGAAAACTCCAAAAGCAGTCAGACATGACTGAAAAATGGCTGAACGACAAAACATAATAGAGAATGAAAAAAAAAGTGGTTTCTTAAAATACTCATTGCCATTCACCTTTGTGAATGCTTTTCCAGAAGCTATTAGATAACTACATTTCCCTTAAAAGAAGGGAGCATATTTTAAAATGTAATGGTTCTAGTTGTACTTGAAGATCCAAATGACTGTCAATGTGTAACCTGATAAGTCAACTCCCCCCAAGGAGAGTCAATGTTCGGTGGTTCCCTGGAATAGGCGGTTTTATCAGTTCAGAATTTTGTTCTGGTCTCTGCTGCCCATTTGTCCCCAACAAAATTCAAATGCTAGGGAGCCTGCTCCCCATGCAAAAGTACCTGAGGGCTTTGCCAACACAGATGGCTCTAACACGATATGACAGGACAAGAAAACTTGGATATTGCTTCTTGTATTGCATGCTACACTTTGGGTACACAGTTCTTTTTCATGGAGTCCATCTTTACTCTTTTAAGTCTGAAAATGAGGCCAAATTTTTGCATTCCTTTCATTCTTGTGCTTTCTTGGAAACAGTATGGGACAGTGAGAAGAACACACAGAGTGGGGGTCCCAAATTTTGCTACTAATACTGACTATGAGTATAACCCTGGGCAAATCACTTAACCTCTAGTTTCCTCAAGTGACTTCAATACAATAAATTGAAGAGAAGGTGCCAATCTGACTTGGGAGAGGAAGTTGTTCACTGAGAGCTCCTTGTACCCATAAAATCTAAGGTCACATCAGAAAAAAAATAAATTGCTCAGCATATACACCCCCAAAAAGAAACTATTGAGTAAGCTGTTCCCACACATTGTTTATAGAATTTATGAAATCTTCATATAACTTTTAAAGTGGAGTAATAGACATAGATGCATGGTTAAAGGAAACTAACAAACATAATTCATAAGGAATTAAGACCATCTAGTTCAAATTTCTTAGCTTTGAGATAACTATATCTGCCTTTTGGGAGATATTTATAATTCAATCTAATCACCCAACTTGAAAACCTTCTCCAATTGCTGGGGAGAGATTGCACAAATGGCCTTCTATTCCTGGTCCTGTGTTCCCCCACCCCAACCCCCACCCATTCCCAACTATGTGGCCAGGGTGAGAAAATACATGAACACATGCCATGCACTGTTTGTGCCTCTAGTACACACGGCCAAAATTAATCAAGTTTAAACTGTCCCAGGACTTTGTAAACATCCTGAACACCTCGGTTACTCCAAAACAAAGTGTGTAATGATCACAATAACATGAAGCAGTTTTTATTCTGGCCGAATAGACCGCAGAGCCAAAATATCAGCTATGATTCTCTTCTCTGGCCTAGGACAAGATTTTTATTAGTGAACATGCAAGCATGGTATTCTCAGATAGCAGTGTTATATACACATGTGATCTATGTCTTCGGTACACATTACTCAGACAAGGGAAGGGGGGAAAGACAGGCTTTTATCAAATGCCAGACACTCTAAGTGCTTTACAAACATTATTTCATTTGATTCTCAAAACTACCATGGGAGGTAAATACTATTATTATCCCTACTTTACAGATGAGGAAACTGAGGCAGACAGAGATTTAAGTGACTTGCCCAGGATCACACAGCCAATAAGTGTCTAAGGATAGATTTGAACTCAGGTCTTCCTGGGTACCTAGGTGGTACAGTGGCTAGAACATTGGGACTAGAGAGTCTAGAAGACCTGAGCTCAAATTCAGCCTCAGATACTAACTGTGTAACCCTGGGTAAGTCATTTAACCTTTATCTATCTCAGTTTCCTCATCTGTAAAATGGAGATAATTATAATACCTATTTCCCAGCATTGTTGTTAGGATCAAATGAAATAATCACTGGCACATAATAAGTGCTATACAAATGTTAGCTGTTTATTATTATTATTATTATTATTATTATTATTATTATTATTATTATTATTATTATTTTGTATGAGGCAGTTTCCCAGAGTCACACAGCAGAGGTCAGATTTGAAGTCAGGTCCTCCTGACCCCAGGGCCAGTGCTATATCCACTGTGCCACCTAGCTGCCCCAATATTAGCTATTATTATTAGCTATTATTCCTAACTCCAGTCCAGTGCTCTATCTCTGCACTACCTAGATAGCTCGGTAGAGATAGATAGATAGATAGATAGATAGATAGATAGATAGACAGACAGACAGACAGACAGACAGACAGACAGACAGATAAAACATTTATTAAGTGCTTATTATGTGTCAGGCACTGTGACAAATGTTGAAGATACAAATACAAGCAAGCAAGACAGTCCTTGCTCCCAAAGAGCTTCTATTCAAGGCTAAGACAACATATAAAGGGGACACTAGTGTAAAGGAGGTCAGGGATAGGTCTAGGGCATGGTATTGAGATAGCCAGAAAGTGGCAAGGAGGCCTGGTTCTAGATAAGATAAAGTGAAAGTTCACCTATCAGAGCCCAGACTCCCAAGGGCAGCATCCCGATCTGGTGGGAGGGGTACAAGGATAATGGACGGAACATATGCAACATGGTTTGGAAATGACCTGGAAGAACTCTAGCTTTGTTATGGGGAGGTTGGGTTTGAATACCAGATCTGCCACTTGCTACTTATATAACCTTGATTATAGATGTAACCTCTCTGGGCCTCAGCTATAAAGGCAATCTATAAGTCATCTATAAAGGGAAGAGGTTGGACTAAATTACCTCTAAAGTTTAGTCCAGATGTAAATCCTATGATTCTGCGTTGCTGAAGTCTAAATCAGGAAATAATAACAATAGATGTAATCAGTGTGGCATCTACCACATTGGACCACCTGCTTTTGAGGGATACTCTTTTTTGCTTGGCTTCCATGATACTAACTCTTCTTCCTCTCCTTTAAAAATAGGCATTCTCAAAGGTTTTTTTTATACCTCTTTTTTCCTCTCTCCTTTGGTGAGTGTATCTATTCCCCATAACTTCAATCACAACCTCTGTGTAATGACCCACAAATCTACATTTCTGCTCCCAGAGTTCCAATCCCTTATTTCCAAATGTCCAACTGGGTATCTCCACCTTGTTGTTCCATCAATACATCACACCCAACATGTTTAAAACTGAACTCATCTGTGGC